TCTTGGTTATGGTTTCAATAAACCTGACAAAAAGTGCTCCAAAAACTGTTCTCAACTTGCATCTTAGCTTTCTGTCATGTGATTAGTGCTCGTTTCAGCATCTCATCGAGTTAACATCTGCCTCCATCCAATCGCTCAACATTCGACTAGATCCTGACCCACTCCGACTACAAAATCCCGAACAAATATCACAAAGGATCACCATGTGGTCACAACTGGGCAAGGAGTACTGTGACGAGTATCGAGTTGTACTCGACTCGAATATGCCATTATGATTGGGATTCGAATGGATTTTGGATTTTTCGTCGTGTTTGCCGTTTTTTCTGGACCAAACGTATGTGAGCGATCGCTTCAATCAACTTGATTGTTTGTCCGCCGATGAGTTCCGCATGTCCTGTGCCTTGAGGCGAATGACTGATCACTTTCACCACAGAAACAATTAATTTCCCCATCACACGCACGGACAACAGCAGCAGCAGGATCAGGAACCAGCAAGAATGTGTTGCTGGTGATGTCCCGAGGCATACAAAAAACAAACATCTTACTTTGAGACAGATTGCGGGTATGTAAACCGCCTCTTGAAGGGGATTTTCTTAGCTTTTTCTTACGATAGAAAAAGGAACACACAGAATTGCTTTCTCATGTGCCCTTCCGAGGATCAGTGAAGTCAGCTGATTCCGAAAGTGATTCTTTCGAGCTCGAAGCGTGCGTCGCTGGTGCAGCGTTCTGGTCAGTGCACCACCTTACCTTTTTTTAGGCCTGCAGTAGATCAAGGTTTTGCCGTGACAAAATCATAGACGCTACGAAAGGTCACTGGGCAGGCCTGTTGCACCGTTCTTGATTACTAAGATTTTGTAGATCTTCAACAAAAACGAATAACGAAGCTGAGCTACCACAAAACGGTGGCGCAAGCGTCAAAAACCTTCTGGTACATTACGTGTTGATGTCACTTCGTTCGTGTTTTTCCATATGCTCCCAACATTACACCGATATCCATTGTCTTTCGGGTCTTTGGGCTTTGTCTGTGGGTTTTCCGTATTGCATTGCATTTGTATTATATTTTGTAGTTTTGTACTATTTTCATATCATGACACTCAGATTAAATGCATTCTGCCTATGTTCATGGTTTTGTACAATTTTGTTGTTATCTGGATTTGCTAGGAAACGTTCACAGTGTGAACTGGATTGCCGTATAAACGTTCGACACGGCGTGGATCCCGACATGCGAAATTGGGCTGTAGGAGAGAGGTACTGCGTAGCACTCGGCTACGCGAACGAGGAATGCTGTTCCGCAGTAAGGCCGATGTCAGCTTTGCGAATCGCGCGATTCGCTAGGTCTGCGTCGCGTCGCGAGCCAGTGAATCACTCAATTGGCTGGCACTCAACAATGCGACCGCGAATCGCTAGTAGCGAATCCCACGCGATTCGCAAAGTCTGACATCGGCCTAGGAGGGCGGAGACGCAGACGGGCCAGTAGACGAGTCACAGCGTATGTTGAGCGATCTGGGACATACTGCAGTGATTTCTATTTTGGTTGACTGCCAAATCGCCACAGTACGCGCTGCGACTCTTTCTGCGACCCGCCTGCGTCTCTGCCTCCTCACCGCGCGGCAGGCCTCCTGTAGGGTACCAAAACGTGGAGTTTGGTAAGCGCTCAATCGCGCCCACTCGCCTACCTCGTAAACTCGAACCACCTTAAGTGTAAGCGGATAAATTATTTGAAAAAAACATGTCACGAAATCTGCATGTTGTTTACCACCTAATGCAAACTTCAGCAATGACCACGGCTCATTTACGAGAAAAATGTATTTTTTAATGTGCCAAAATTGGAGGATAAAAGTAGTGAATATGCGTGGATGGTATGCATGCGTGTTCCTACTGAAGCTTTTATGTGCAGAGTTCAAAGTGTACTATCGAGAGGCATTAATTGCGTGGAAAACAGATTAAGCGCGGCGGCTTTACGGTGCGCTGCTTACCACTTCCTATGGCCGATGTCATACTTTGCGAATAGAGCGAATCGCAGATTGATGGTACCGCAACGCGACGCAGACGCGCGTCTATGGTCGCGTTGCTGTGAAGTGGAATAACGGCCAGAGGAAAAGCGAGGAGAGAATTTTAACGCTGGGAATGTTTCATAAATAAAGTGGGGAGGGACGAGAAGACTTCTCCGCCACATTTGAGATTGAATGAATCACCTCTCTCGAACTCAATCACGAAGCTCCTGGGGGCTGACGCATGGTGGAGGCGCGGATTAGACTGCAGAACTTCACAAGCTACCCCATGGCGTCACATAGAATGCGAGCAGTAATAACATGCGTGCCATGTTTGGAGCCCAAAGACGTTTGTCGGGCGGGTCGTGCACGAATTAAAACTCTTGTCCGAATGCTAGCAAAACAGGCAATTGACACACCAATTCATATCAAACGACCGTGAGGTCGAGCACAAGACGTGGTATGCTCTTGTGTGGGATTGAGATATCCACGTCGTTGAAAACTCGTACTTGGGGTACCACCATCGCGGAGGAGCCGTGCAGCAAAACGTTAAGTGATGGGCACGATGAAAAAAGCTTTTTTTTCCTGAGGCAGGGTATAAACATTTCCACGCAGACTGGGGGAGGGAGGAGCTCCACGGTGGGTGAAGTGCTAACCAGATGGTAGAAGGTTGGAAAAGATGTGGCTAGGACGTGTGGTATCTGGGGCCATCTATAAAGAAACCGGATTCAATGGTGGGTGTGTTTGTATAAGCGCTCAGCAGGCGTTAGGTACGAGTTAGCGTCCTCCCCTATAACTCCACACTCACCCCTCATTGCACCACATGAACGACTGACAATGTTATTCATAACATTCATAGCTGCAGTAGTTACGATCATTGTGAAATGCACTTGTGCAGCCTGCTTTTACCGTATCTCCGTAAAATTTTATTACACAAATATCACTATTTGGATCACAATATACAGTAGCATGACAGAAGCTTCAATGGAGCTCCAGCACTGACTTCCAGGCATCTTTCATAGTGTGATAATCTCACGCTGTAATGATTTAGGTCGCGCGTAGAAATTTTTCAGCAGACATAGAAATATAACTCAAAAATCTCACCTTTGATTTCCCTGACCATTCTCTGCAATTCGGACACCCTATCGAGCACCTCGATTCGTTGTGTATAGGCGTTGTAGCGAACTTGGAATGAACGTGGGATCGTAGACGCCCAAGCCCTGCAGAAATTAACTTTTTCAAAAGCATCAACAAGCATAGACACCGTATTTTTATCCAAACTGGTATTGCGAGTTTTCTTCCCAATAATAAAATAAGGGATTGTATTTGCAAGCTTTATTACAAATCCGGAGACTGGCTTTGGAGTAGGATAGATTAGCCCTGAAAAGGACTACTACATATACGCTTCAAAAGACAAAAAACTGTTGGTTGTTAGCTATCGATTGCAGGTTAAACCTGACGGAACTATTTCCTAGTAATTTTGGGAAAAGTTTTGAAGTCAGCGTGCCCAAAAATTAACTCTTTCGTTGCTTCGCATAAACGCGTGATCACTATACGATATACAAAGTTCAGTGCGTGGCATTTCAAACTCTCAAAAAAGCCCCCCTCCCCCAAAAACCACTCATGACACATCCGACTAAATAGTACCGAATGGTGCTAAATGTGGATGTAAATGAATGAATGAAATCAATTTGCTCTAATGCGATGTAAGTGAATCATTTGCGACACTAGCACTCACTGAGCGTGTTGGGGCATGGCAAAGAATCGGCCAAGGAAGTATTTGGTGTATTCGGCGATCGGTAGGTGCTGTTGTGGCTGTGACAGCTGGATCGAACGGTGCTACATTTGGCTGAAAATCAAGAGTCATTAGCTCCAGTTCGTATGAGCATGATTCAACCACGACAAGCGCCTCACCTTATCACTGAGGGAGTACTGTAGTTCACCAAAGGACGACAGCAAGCCTGCGCCATAGGCTTTCCTTTCTCCATTTTGTAGGCATATTCCGAACTCGATTGTGAACCAGTACAACTAAAAGAAGAGATTAATCCAGCTGTGAATTCTTAACTTATCTTTGCTTATTTCTTAATGTCTCCCAGTACGGCAATCTCAAATAAGAGCCAGGGGCAGATTCACTTGGCTCCCCCTTGGGACTGACCTTCTGGGAGACGTCTGCGTCTCGTTCACATCCCTGCTCGAATATCTTAGGTGTCTGTTCTCTTATGTAGACATTATTCTTCGTCCGTCGATTCGTACGTACATTCAAAATAAAGTTCGTACGCACATTCAAAATAAATCCCCGGAAGCGGGACCCGATCAACATGCTTTGAACAATTCTCTGCATGGCGTCAAAGGACAGGCTGCTTCTGAACTTGGCGTAGCCGACTTAAGGTTTCTAAACGCAGAGGTGACGGTAAAAATTCCACATAAGTGGACAAGTGGCTGCCACCTGCTCTTCTATCCACTCTTGCACAGCCCCATCACGCACTACAAAAGTTGAACTAGACGAGCTACGGAACTGTATTGCAAACATTTTACACATTAGACCTATTTCCATTTCCATCCATCCTGAAGGTTTCCTCAGGATAGTTTGCACATGCAATGGTTGGGTACCCCCAGGAGGCCCGTCGCGCGGCAAGAAGGCAAAGTCAGCGGACGAGTCGCGCGCGTACTATAGGGATTTCGCGTCAAGTTAAATAGAGTGTCCCACTGCACGTCCTACATCGCACACCACGCGCTGCAACTCGTCCGCCGACTCTGCCTTCTTGCCGCGCGACGGGCCTCCTGGGGGGTACCCTTTTCACATTTCACGAGTCAGATCCAATTTTCTAGGTAAAGGTATGGGATCGCGCAATAGTTTTTATTTCGATCAAGGATACATTGTTTGAACCGAGATATGAATGTTTGGATTTGAGCGTCAAAAGTCGACAGAACTTTCCCGAACAAGCCATTATTTGATGCCGTGACACCTTCTTTCAGAGGAATTCCAAAATTCACTTCAAATTTCGGAATTCATGCGCCACCTTGAAAAGTCGAAGATTCATATTTACTTTACATGATAGAATGGAGCTCATTAAGCCCAGCAATAGTTAATCCTACGTTCGCAATCCCACACAGGGAGAGGCAGGTGGCGGAGGTAGGCCAGAATTTTTTTCCTTTTTTCAAAGGTTTGAAATGGTTTGAAAGGTTTTCAAAGGTTTAAAAGGTTTTCAGGGAGGGTCGAGCAACAGACGGATGACAATAAATCCATCTCAATGTTCCACGAGGAAGCTCACCGTGGCAAGTTGCTTGATCACTTCGTCCGAGGCTCCAAGACTGGCCAGACCGATTTCCTGAGAAAATTGAGCAAATTCGAGGTCCGCGAAGAGAGGTACGTGACCAAGGAGCTCGTGGCAAATATCGCTAAACCATCAAGCAATGTTAGGATCAACCAGACAAACTTTGCTGACGAACCTCACGGCTCCGGAGTGTATTTGGGTGAGGAATGATGGCGTATGTACTGTGTGGAATGGAAGACGCGGAATGCGAGACCGGCAAGGAAATCACGCGATGAAAGAAGTCCTGCCACAGGACGTAGTGTGAAGCCAGTGCAATCTGAATATTGTAACTGTTTTCAGTGCAGAAATTTTATGAAGGTTTTCCTATATAATATTCGTGGGCGAACCTTTCAAAAAATCAGAAACATCCTGAAGCTGCGGGATGTTATCGGCTCTGAAGCCGCAGTTTTGTTGAAGTAGTGGGAAAGATGTAGTTGAACTCTTTACATGCATGTGTCGGGTAGAGGGATACAAGTTCCTGGAAAATAAATCTTATAAAAAGAACATTAATTAAGGTCATTATTGATTATGTTAAGAATCCACTTACGTTATAGACAACACGCCAGCGGTCGACTCCTGAAGCGGTATATCTATGCGTTTTGGTCGCGGGGCGTATCTTGTCGCCACTGAAAAATATGTCTTACTCATAGGCACCATTAAAGGCAAGATTCAGGATTAAATTATGAGGTAATTCCACTCAAATGTGAAAGTAGGGGTAGGAAGTGGACCGCCAGTGGAGAAAAAAGAAAAAAATCGTGAAATGCACAGGAAATACGAGCCTTTTGCTCTACGCTGCGGAGAAGTTCAAAAGGCCGGCAGGGAGATGAGAGATAATGTGAGCGCGGAGAGCGCTAGAGAAGTACGAGTAGAGCATAGCAGATCAAGTTAGCGACGCAGACAAGATATCGAGCGGTGGGCGGAGCGTGTCGCAGCAGGTGGAGCGTGTCAAAGTTCTTAGCGCCTAGCGTCTAAATAACGGTTTTCGAAGTAGGGAAGTGACGCGACCCCTACACTTGCGTACCTAGCGCTTCTAGCCACCGTAAAGGCTCATTAAGTGGGTCTGAGCCCGAACTTTGCCTTTAAAGAAATCCTTTCCCGAAGACAAATCTCGCATTTCCTTCCCATACGCGCATATGTCAGTGTGATCACTAGAGACACATACAAAGTTTCACGGGCACAAAGTTTCAGTTACGAAGAGAAAACAACTTACAAAAACCGCACTCTATGGACAAGCGAAGGTAGGTGGCGCGGAGCAAAAGGGGAGGAAAAGGAAGTCTACTTGTGGGGCGGCTATGTATAGCGACGCAAGAAAGAATCGAATTACGCGATTTTGGAGCGTAGAGACAAATCGATCGATAGAATAGGATGGCAGTAGAAGTACGAGATGTAATGCATTAAGTCAAAAGGCCAAAAAGAGTTTCTAGTGACGGAACTCAGAGAAATCAAGTGGAAGCATTCCCGTCGCCTAGCATTTGTGACAGACGTCCAGCGGCCCTTTCGGTGCTTCGAATTTTTTTCCCAAAACAAATGCAACTTTTTGGTTCTTTTCGTTCTTATCGTGGACAGTGGGTCTCAAGCCAGTGATTTATGGTGAGCGTCACGGTTTTTTCGAGGATTCCTTTAAATTGCAAAGTCGGCGATTGGCAAAAGTGGTGTGTTGGAAATTGGCGCTGCTTCCTAACGTACACCCAAAGATCAACAGAACGTCCAGGACGACAGTTTTTCGTCCCTTGCCGCCGAATAATCGGCACGAGGTAATCTCTGAGGATAATACTAGATACATAGCGGCTCCAACCCCTCGCTTCCCTCCCCCCCCCCCACCCATCCCACCTATGCCACTACTATTCTGAATGGAAGCAGAGTGCGTGCGCATCCGAAGGGGATTGACCGACGCTCAAACCTTTTTATGTTCAAAATGGTGCGAGATCGGATTGCCTGTAATTCTGTACGTATGAAGGAGTGTATGGAGAAGGACGGAATGCCAGAACTAATAAACTGCTAGAACCCTTGGTTCCTAGGGTGTAAATGTCGCGTTGTAACGATACTTACAACGTTCGTGCAAGCCCAACTTGGACCATTATGCGATGATAAATTAAGGAAAACGTCAGGCTTGTCTTTGCGGGAGCATTAGAAGGAGAAATATGGCATAATTAGAAATTCGTCGATTTAGGCAGACTTCTACAAGGGTCAACGAGACTGTTACACATGGGAACGACAAATTTTGCTTTTCCTACAGTTCCTTTTTCTACGTCGCAATTAAAGCCAACAAATATTTAGGAACTCCGCCATTATGTGCGGCACCTTTCTGTGTATTAAATAAATAAATAAATAACTCACTATTTGTAGTTGAAAGCGATGTCAGCAAAGAACTTTCGTCGTTCTCGATAGACGGGATCTCTGAAGCCCTGAAACAGGAGTGAGCACCTTGAGTATAAGGAGAGTTTCAGAAAGTAAAAAAAAACGGTTGAGCAAGGCAGACTCCGCTGTATCAAGGAGTGGGTCAGGATATGCCGGCTTGTGGTAATGAGACAATGCAAGCAGTACCAACGTATGCGCAATGTTGCTTACATTAGTTCTGTGAGCCGCCTTCCAGTGGTATGGATTCAAGAGCTACGGACTAAAATTTATAAAGTAAGAAGCGCATTGGAGAACTCTCAATGTCCAAAAGACACGTCCAATATGGGTGGCAAGGACTGTACGGCTACAGTGAATTTTTGCCTTTCTCCAATTGGCTATCCCTTCAAACTTCCAATACTCCTTTCAACAATATATGATATCAAAGCTTAAAGCTGCAGTTATTTGGTGCATTACTGAAGTCAAGATTCCATAGTAGAACTGCTTTTAAGGACATTTTGGCTCAAACTTGAACAAAATTGCGGCGCGCCTAAAGAGAGGCTTGGTCCCATGAGCCCGTTGCCTGCAAAGCCGCATTGTCGTCAAAGGGTTAAATTTCCACTGAGCCCCTCGCCTGACGAACTACCTAAGACAAACCCAAATACGGTAGAAGAAAAGGCACGAACCGGATGATCAGCATCGAGCTCAGCTCCATAGCTGAGAATTCGGTTTGCAAACTGGTCAATATCAGTGATTCGACGTGGAAACCACGGAATAGAATCTGAAATTGTGGAAAACTAGAGCTTTATTAAATTAATCAAGCCAAAAAACTATTTCATAGTAATAATACCAACAACCTCCATGAGTTTTTCCCTTTATATCTCGAAAATTCGATCAGAATCCTGCGAGATAGGTAGTGGTAGGAAGTTTGAGAGATAATAAGCACTGAGGCGCAGGAGTGAAAGGAGAGAATATGGCACTCGAGCGAGACTGCAGACGCTGCACGGCGGGCGAGCGGTCAACAGAATTGTAAGCTCGCCGCACCGCCGCGCGCGGCAAGTCGTGCGGCGAGGAGAGCGGAGAGTTTGGGACGAGTTCTGCCTCCATTGACGCCACGCCCACCAGCGCGGCGAGCTGACGATTCTGTTGACACGGAGTTCGAGCTTCGCAGCTGTGTAAGCTGCACTTCGTAAGCCTCTAGCCCCTGCCATGCAATATGATTTGTCAAAATGGTACTTCTTCAGTTCGATTATCGATCCGGCAACTTAACTCACGGCGTGGGCTATCCAATGTAATAGTCGTGTCGTGTGCCCTTAGGGCCAGGTGGTTCGACAGGGTGGATGTTGAAGAAGACGGCTTTTGCTGTGTAAAAGGAGGCTTCTCCACAAGTGGACGAGACTGTGCGCTTTTCCAAAGCGCTTTCTGATTTTCTCGCAATGGTCACTTCATGCGGCTCCCGTCCTCCT